CTTTTTAAAAAAAAAAAAAAATACAGCCAATTAAAAAATTTATACATTAACTACGATATATCAAAAATAATAATTTTCTTTTTGTCCTTTTCTAAACGAAAAACAGACTGTAGAGCATTTCCACTCTATATGTTGAAACGACACCGTTTGTTTGTGATTGAAATAATATTATATATTTGATTATCTTTGATCTTGAATAAAAATGAGTTAGAGACTAAAAAATAGATAAAGCGAATGAACATATTTAATTTTCCGTTTATAAATGTATATAAGAAAAATGATTAATGATTAAAATTGACGTGATATTAAATAATTGTAAATTACATATTTAATTTTGCGTTTATAAATGTATATAAGAAATATAATGATTAAAGTTGACGTGATATTAAATAATTGTAAATTATTGAAAATTACAAGGATTTGGGTGTATGAATAGTGATAGTTTAGAAAATATGTAGTAATCATAATTCATTTTATTTGATGATATTGATTACACTAACTAGAAAAAAGTTGGAATGAAGTGATAGTGAACATTGAATTAAATACTTATATCCAACTTTATTTATGTCGTAGAAAAACATATATGAGACAAAACATAAAATAAAATAAAATAAAGTAATTATATAAGGTCTTAAATATTCAGTTTCAAGTCGAGTATTGGTTGATTCATATATATCATCATATATATTTCAATAATAAAATGCTATTAATTCCGAATTTATTCGAGCCTTCTAATTAATGGCTTACATAATTGATCATATATATGCTAGTGATATTAATTATGATTAATTAACAACGGTAATTACAATTACAAGTATCACTTGAGATGCAATGACCTTGTACTTGGGGCGCTTTTATGTTTTGTTTGCACATTTTTCACAAATATCTTCAGTACATGATTCATCAGTCCCTGTAGAAATTTGCTTCGAGCAAACTTTTGCCTTCATTATTACATCTTCACCTGCAAAAATCAAGACAAAAAAAAAAAATTATTTTAATTTAAAGATTCATTCAATAATTGTTGGATTTCATTAGAAAAAAAAAAAAATGCTTGAAAATGATATTTTTATTAGTCATGTTATGTTGTCAAAATTGTTTACAAATTGTGTTAACTATCAAAAATATACACAATAATCATTCATTAATCGCGTCATTATAATATTACAAAATCAACGAGAAAATAAGATATTAAAACAAATATACACTATTTTAATTACTATTATATGAAAACAAATCAAGAAATAAAAGTTTAAAACTTGAATAATTGTAATTATTAATGAAATTCAATTTTTTTTTTTTTTTTTTG